CCAAAACCCTGGACCACCATTATATTCCAGTGGAATAGTAATGGAGCAATGTAAGCAAACGAATCCTTACAGACATGAAACCATTGAGGTGATCAAACCCTTGGACCTTCCAAACGTGAAGGCAGCATTCCTCATAGTCTGGCAGTGAATTGCCCTTTCACGCCTCCATTCCTTTGGGACAGCCCCAGGGAGGCCACGGGTTGATTGCAAAGTAGACACGAGGTTTAGCACTCGTTACACAAGGTTGAATTCCAATCTCCGAAGGCAGACAGCATCAATGGTCGTTGGAGTATTAAAGGAAAGGGGACTCGGGAGCTCATTCGAAAGTGGGGGCGGAAGAAATGGGAGGGATTTTCAAACAGGAAAGTATACGAGGGAAGAAATTTGCCTTTCAAGTAGCAGTCTAGTTCCTCAAAATGTCAAAGCCACAGCACAACAGTCTACCGGTAGTTCCAGACACGGCCGCAGCCTATCATTCTAGTCCCAGACAAATCTCTGGGACTAGAGTGAGCAGTATGGGCCAACAGGCCCCGACTCCCGAGTCCATTGGTGCACGGTGGTACGGCCACAGTGTGGTCTTAGTTTCATTTGGCGAGGTTCGACACGGGGTAGGAGTTTTGCACCGCGCCCTAGCGACCAAGGGCCTAGTCCAGTAGGTACAGCACATAACTTGGACGCAATCATAGACCTGGGTTTGACTCCAGCAGGCAGCAGAGGGAGCGAAGGAGGCAGGTTGGAAGACACGCCAGTTGATTACCCCACTCTGGTAGTCCCAGACAGGGCTATCAGTCCCAGGGACTAGAGTGAGCAGTATGGGCTACCGGTCTGGCACTCTGGTAGTCCCAGCCAGACATGGCCATGACCTTGCACTCTGGTCGCCGACATACCCACCACCTACCCGAATGGAGTGCCGTGTCATTTTTTCTGTACCGGGCGTGAAAGGTGGCCCAAATGCAGCCATGATTATCGCTGTACCGGGACTGAAACTGCACACCAATTATCGTTGTACCGCGATTGAAAGGTAGCGCTCCGGTTGTTGAATTACCCACAGCCTAGCTCTCCAGTCCCAGATAGACCCACTGCCTAACGGTACCACTCTGGTCCCAGACATAGCCACAGCCTGGCACTCGAGTCCCAGACGTTGACCTGGCCGCCTCAGGCTGACACTCTCAAATTCCACAAACAGCCATCCGCGACAATCATGAACTTGGCCAGGAGATGAGGATGGGTGCATAATGAAGGGTGAACCATGGTAGCGCCGGACCCGGACTCCGGACCTACCGGACCGTCTGGCCGGACGCACGTCCGCGCCTCTCCGGACCGTCCGGACTTCCGGACATAATCCGGACCTACGGACATACCGGACCCGGACCGTCCGGACTGGGGTGCCGGTGCCCCGTCATGTCCGGAAAAAAAAAAAAAAAAAAAAAAAAAAAAAACCACCGGGCATGGGGGTGGGGTGGAGGGTGGGTGGGGTTAGAAGACTTACAACACTAGTACAGTACCAACTGCTTCAACAGTTAAACTGTTAAACAGAAGAATTATTTATTCCATCCATTGAGGTTGATCGGTGTACCAACTGAGCTAGGCTCCTTGGTATTTTCAATAAATTAACTGCAATGGTTCATGGGTGTACCGATTGAGTTGGGCTCGTCGGTATTATCCAGTGAACTTCCACAAACATTGAACTTCTTTTTTTTTCCCTCAAAATTTAAATTTGATTTCATTTCACAAACGAGCTGAAGGCCGGGGACCTCCACATTACACCCGGAGCTGGAAGCATTATCCAGTTCTGCTTACAGGCTGAAACAGTGAAAAGCCTATGGGCCTTTTCCATAGCCCCACGCAGCTCTGAGGCTGCTGGCTCTACACTAGGACTATCCATCCTATCTACCCGGTCCCAAACTACTACAGTACAGGCGTCCCTACTCATACAGAGTCCTAAAGCGGTCCTGTGGATCAAGTCCAGGGGACTACATCTACCTACATACTAGTGCTGCCAGATCTATAAAATGGGAGTCTGTGCAGGTGCAGCAATGGCCGCTCAAAAGCGTACAGGGATGGGAGAAACGCGCGGCTCCAAGATGGCGAAGACGAGCTTGAGGATGGCGAAGACGGTCGAGCGGCAACGACGAGCAAGATCCAACACCGCCAACAAAAAAAAACGAAGCCACGGCCGCCAACAAAAAGAAATCGAAGCAGTAAGGTGGGCAGATTCGAATTTTTCGAATCTGCCCGCCTTACTGCTTCAGTCCTGGTCCGGCCCTGTCTGGAAAGTGCGAATGGGGCCTAAAATTCACAGAACTATTTTTTAGGGCCTCCCTGGGTGCCAAGCGACACTTCCAGGCCGCCCTTTTTTTTTTTAATTTTGGCCCAGGGGGGGGCAATCCGGTCCGTCTGGACCGGACACCGGACCCAGACCTCCGGACCCAGACCATCCGCAAAGCGGTCCAGACGTCCGGATCGCTACCATGGTGTTAACTAGAATGGTAATGAAATTGGAAACTTGAAATTTGAAATGTTGTTGAATTGAATCGAAGTTATTGAACTGATTGAAAAAGAAAAAAAGAATTGAATGGTTCAATGGATTGATAGGATTTGTCTTTTCTTTTTCTTCTCTTTTTGAATAACAACAAGGCTCATCCATTTTTCCGGAAAACGGGTCCGGCGTCCCTCACATATTTCGCAGACAAATCTCTAGCCCCAGACAAATCTCTGGCACAAATGAACTTGTATATATTTAATGTAAATTTGTAAGTTGATAATATTTGAACTTTGGAGGACTCCCCCCCCCCCCCCCCCTCTCAAAAAAAACAAGAAAAACGAAAAAAAAAAAACAATGAAGGATTCTGCTGAGACATTGCACAGATGCTTCACTTGACTGTCTTAGCTGGTAAACACCAAGCCCGCCACACTGCACAGGCATTATTGGGGGATTGAACCCACAACCTCCTGAATACCACTTGCATACTCGAGCAACTAAACCAGGCCATTTTTTTATTTTTATTTTTATTTTTCCAGGCCATTTTTTGGTTGGTTTCTTTTTTGTTTCATAAAAGATAAAAGAATAAGAATAGCTAAGGATAACGTGATCCACATATCACCCCCCCACTAGGAGCCTGGGTGACTGGGTCCACTTTCCCAAATCAAGAAGAAAAAAAAAAAGACAAGGTGTGTGAGGGGTTTGGGAGGGATAGGGCTCACGGGATCATGGTGCACGTCGTCACTTCAGCTTTGCACAAAAGGTGGGCAGATCTACGAGCTGAATTCTTCCGCTGCCGCAGGACATTGCCCGTGCCCTCTCTTCTGCAGTGTTATACCCCCATGTGCCCAGGTAGAGGTGCCACTTGGAGAGGGTCGGAACCTGAATTACGTTCTCCAAGGTGAGAACACGGTCCTCCACAAAGTGGAGCTCGCAACCATTGTGCTCGGCCCGGGACTGCAACTGTTCCAGGACCCTTACTTTGGGACCGGTCCCAAGACCAAAGATCCGGTCCTCCGGGAAGTCCACCCCTGCCAAGTCTTTCAGCAGAGCAAGCGCAAAACGGGTCTGCTTCGTCGTCACAATGTAGATTGGTGAAGCCGCGAATCTCAACGCGTCAGCAACGCCTGGGTATATCCGATTAGTTCCTAACCAGCCGGCAAGATCAGTTTGCATCCAGTTATCTCTGATCGAGCCGAAAAGGTCGACCAGCTCCTCTCTCTTCCCCTCTTCTCCCCACTCTTTCATAATTACTGGTTTTATCGACTGCCATCCACTAAGAATTCCGTTGATGTCTTTCAACTGTCCGCTTTCAACAACCGAGGACACCCTCTGGACGTCCGCAGCGCCGTCCATGCCGGCGTCCACACTGCTGCTACCACCGCCTGTCAGTTGCCACCGCTTCATCTCAAGGAGAAGACGGACGAGAAGAACATTCTCGTAGCCCGTCTCGACAACGGGTCTCACGTCACGCATCCTGTCTACTATCCACTGCTCCACAGAGGGACTAATGCCTGCCAGGACACTTGGCCAACGAACTTTTGCGGCCTTGACGGCAGCCAGAGAGCTCTCGCCACAACTGTCACAAAGGACGCCATCGAAGTCTAAAGCATACACATGACCCATAATAGCTCAGGCCGGTGACAAATCGGTCGATCACCTGGAAGACGACACCTGAAGGGTGTCATAAACCGAAAAAAAAAAAAAAAAAAAAAAAAAAAAAA